GAGTAACATTTGTTCCCTTCAGCCTAATAGCAGTGCTGATGGTAGGAACAGCGCGCTTGCATGAAGAACAGCTCCTGACCTCCTGCAATTTGTAGCACTGATTAGAGAAGAGACTTTTTGTTTAATTTGAAGTGCTGTTCCTTGTAATTTCTCAGTGTAAGGATCCTGGTCTTTATACAGTCACAACGCAAATAGTTGGGGTTTAACATGGTAAATTAATTTCTTTGCCTATTTGGCTGTTCCTATCTCCATCTGGCAGATGGAGAGCTGAAGTTGTGGGTAGGACTGTTCTGACTATCTGAATGCTCCTCAGGGGTTCTATTGTGTCCTGCACCCTAACTCTGAGAAATGGGAGGAAATACAAGTCAAAGAATATAACTCCTAAGCAACTGGCAGGATGGAGCTGTCGGCATAGACTGTGGTGGGCCTTTCTGCAAGGGCATCCGTCCCTGAGATCTCCATGTCTCTGTGCCAGGCAGTGAGTAATCCTGTGTTGGTGCAATGTGAGAGAAGATTGATTTTAGCATCTACTTCTGAAATTATTTCAGGGAACTTGTATCAAATGCTGCGGTTGGATTCAATGAGGTTGAGTGCAGAGGGACAGAAGTTTATTTTCACCGCACCTGAGCTCACCAGGAAATATGTAAAAAAACCTCAAGCCCATTTCCCTCAGGGTTTTGGCTCATATTTCCTTTCCAAGACAGGAGATTCATGAGCAGAAGAATAGCCTCCCATCTGTTAGAAAGGCAAAGCAGGTGAAATGCATCTGGTCCTTTCATCCTTTTCACCCTTTCCACCCGTCCCCAGTTCGCACATCCTGGGGAGTAACAAGTTCAGTTTTCCCCTTGAAGCTCAATGAGGTCAAGACAAAAGTGGAACAACTAAAAAACTTCCTGGCATGTTAATGAACAGCTCATTGGAGGATAAAACAGGCCTGGGGGCATCACTGTGGCTTTGATCAAAGCTGGGAAGTGTTACTGGTCTCTTTTTTGCAGAGGTCTGTGTAAACAGATTGCAGTTGGGTGAGTTTCCCTGGTCTGATCTGAGATTTCAGTTGTCCCCAGTGGCTCAGGAACACCCTCAATCAGTTGCAGTTGGGAGAGTTTTCATGTCTCCAGTCTGACCGTCAGCCTTTGATAATAAAGTGTGTGCAGCAGTCGATGGGATATTGCCCAGAGCACTGGGCAGAATGCTGTGAGCATGTGAGCTGTGTCTCATTTCTCCCCAGTCTGCAGTCAAGGAAAGCTTTGGAACAGATACAAGCCCAAAATGGGGCAGGGGGAAGGAATTTTGTACATGGAATAGTTCAAAGCTAAATTCCAGTCTTCAGGTGTGAACCAGCTATGAGAAATATAAGGCACCTATACAGTCTTTGTGGGAGTCTGTAACAAGTCCGAGTGTAAAATCTTTTAACAAAAGGATTAATGAAGAACTTTATCCAGAGTGCTGTTTTATCAGGACGATGTGGCAGAGTTTGTGGGTTCTGCATGTGGTTTCTCAGAATATCCGGATGGAGTTTGGGATACCTCATCCATGGGGGTCATGGAGATGATTGTCATTGAGAAGTACTCTGTATCAAGCAAGCTTGGAAAGAGTGTGGCTGCCAGGTCTGGCTGGTGGAAGGAAATCCACCAACTCTAGCTCTGTCCCACCAAAGTGGTCCAGATCCCTTTTCATCTTCCAATATGTCCCTTTCCAGTTCTGCAGTTTCTATCAAAAAAAGTGGTTTTGGTCTCACATTAGAGGGGTTGGAGAAAGGATTAGATAAAAGATCTGGGTTCCAGTTTCCACACAGAGTTCCCTGATAGAATGTGAGAGAAGAATTCCAAGTTTTCTGCTGTCAAAGAAAATATAAAACCTGCAAGTCCATGAGTCAAGCAGTGTGAGTGCTTTACTGTGTCTGTAGCATACCCTCTTGGTTGCTTAAAAAGATGGGTCAAAGAGTATAAAGGGAATGTTTAGTTATTAATCAAATGCCTTGATAGTTACTAGGTGGCAAGAACTTATCTATCTTTAAAAGATCAGTTCTGAGAGTGCAACTGGGGAAAATTCAGCTGATTTTAGTTTTTTACATCAGCCATGATTTGAGTCAATGGCGAAATCAGCAGCTTGAATTTTTGACTCCAGTAATTTCACCTTCCTTTCCCCAAGTCACCTTCCTCATTCCCTCTCTATTTAGATGTCGTTTTTCACCTACAAGCTCTCCAACCTCCCAGCCCATGCCTAGGTACAAGGTCAATGCTGCTGCAGCACCTCTTGCTGGGACATGGGCTCAGAGATATGCTGAGGGGCTGACAGGACACAGAGTTTGGTGGGGATGGTCTCAGCTCCCTGCCTCATGCCTGACAGTTGGGGCCATTGGGGCCAGGCACACTGGGGTTCTGGCTAGAAATCAGGTTTGGGGTAGCTTTGCTCCATCCTATATGCTTTTGGTTTTAGGAGGTGCTGGTCCTTGGGCTTTGCACGCTGCAGAGGGCAGAGCTTTCATAGGAAAATAGCAAGTACTGAAGTGGAAGTCAGTGAAGAGAAGGAGACTGTGTTCATGTAATAAATCCTGGTCCTTTTTCCCTTTGTTTACCTGGTGCGGTCATTTCCAGAGGGACCCATAACTGTGAGAGGTGCCAGTGTGTGCTGCAGCAATGCTGCAGCACTCCAATGTTATAAAAGACTGAAAGGTGGCAGCAAGGTTTTGCTGCAGAGCTGTTCTTCAGTAGTTATCATGGGCATTCTCCTGCAGGAAGGGGATTTGCAGGAAAAATGGAAAGAAAAAATGTTTCAGTTCCTTAAGAAATAGGGAATGGCCTTATTTGTTTAGAGAACAGTTTTTTTCTTTTTAGAGCTGGGCCTCATTCATGCATAGCAAGAATTTCCTCTGGCTTATGCGGAGCTAATTTTGGAGGATGCTGTTCTCTGGTGATTAGTAACATTTTGTTAATGTTTTGTTGTGCTGTGTTAGAGCAAATGTAGTTATTTTCTGCTGGGCAAAGAACTAAAGAGCAGCATTTTTCAAATAACCCAGTTCAGCGGGATAAGGGAAAACTTGTAGAACTCTCTTACCATTAGCAGGAACCTCTGACTACACTGCACACTGCGAGGTTTGATGCTTCTTTACTCTTTCTTCTGGCAATTTCTCTGTACCAGGGCTAGCCACTTCCAGCAGCATTAATGTGACTCTCATTCCCTCCATCCCTGAAGTTTGGATGGCCATGCCCATTTCCCTGGCAGATGAGGCAATGCACAGACCCTCCAGGCCAGTTGCTGTTCATCTGCTTTGTGCCCCATCCCACCTATGGGCCAGGTCTGGGTCAGAGCTTCCTGTGCTGGATCTTTATCCACTTACTCAGCACACCAGATGCTTGAATTTATTGCTTCACTGTGTTGAGGTTTGACAAGAGGTATGGCTCTTCTCTTCTCTCTTTTTCTCTTTGAGACCATGTTTATGAGAGCTGGGTTTATTTTTCCCTTCCTACAGCTCTCTAAATGCTAAGGGCTCCATGTAGAGTTATAGAGTTATTGACATTCTCCTGTCCTGTAGGCTTTGGGAAGTAAAATTTTTTAACACATGGGAAGATCAGACCTTTGGAGAGACTGCTGTGATGTTATGTGAAACACTTTGATTTCTTTTCTTGCAGAGCACACTATGGGTCATATTGCCCTGAACTATTCTCCTTATACCCACCTGCTGTCTTGAGCTCATTTCCTTACATTGAGAAAGTACTTGGGAAAGAATTGACTCAGAAAATAGTTCAGTGATGCAATCCTGTAAGATTGGCAAAAAGTAGGCAAAAGAGATAGTTTAAGTAATATAGCTGTTCATTTTAGACACCTGTACCTGTAAATGGTTTCTTTCTGGTACAGGTAGGTCTGTCCTTCCCATGATAGTTTGCTCTGTGCTTTTCTGAGCTCTCTGGGGAATCCGGGGCACAGATGTTAGGATGCACAGTAGTGATATATTACATGGAATGAAATAATGGAGAGCCAGCAAATGTTGTTTATAAATTGTATCTCTAAACGCTGTCAGACTGTTCTGTTATTTGTGCAGTGTATTTCCCAGTATCACATCTGCATGTTCAGCACTCTATACACGAGTTTACTTTTTAGTTCTTTGATGTGAGTTCATGGCCTGCTAAAAGAAATGTTGGACCAGTGTTCTACCTGATCATCTGCTTATGCAATCATTGAGAACTTTTAAGTCAACTCTGTGCTTGGCATTGTAAAACCCAGTGTTACTCCAGGCAAGCATCTTTTTTTAATGCAGTATGTCACTCAGATTTTCAGAACAAAACCTGTTTGTAGCTCTGTTCCTTTCAGCAGGACACTGTAATAACAGACTGCTGGTGTTTCCCTGTGCAAATCAGTTTTGCCCCAAAAGCCAGTAATACTTAATAATCTAAAGAAAAAGTGATTTTTCTGCTGTGTTGTATTTCCTTTCATTAGATATTTCAAAGAGGATGTAATGTTGGTACTGTTCCCAGATGCTTCATGAAAATGAATACTAATACCTAATTATTACCTTACATTTTATTCTATGTAGCAGTAATATAAAGTGGAATAGTATTAATTAAACCAGAGGCTTGGTTCTGTTCTGAGAGGTATTTCTCTTTGTAATCCCAGTTCTGTCTTTTTTAGCACAGCTATCATTGTCATAATTTTGTGATACAAACGAAAGAAGTAGAATCTCCTTGTTAAAAGTTCTCACCTATGACTTGATCAAAACTTTACTTGAATTTCCAGAAGATGAAAAGTAGTAAATGAAATCATAATGTTGTCTGGTGTCTTTCTTGCATTGTTGTGTGGTGTTGTGGTAGTTTGAGGACTGGTGGAATGGGTGAATTTCCTAATCAATATAAATGATTGCAAATAGTGGAATTATAGTAAAACTGGGAACCCTTCATGGGAATGAAACAAGCCCAAGCCAGGGATTTCAGACACAGAAAACTCTGTATATTGACACAAATAGAATATAAAGTAAAATCAAACCAACTGTGACATTTTCTCAGTGGCACACAAATGTAGTACATCCAGCAACAAGCTGACTTGTCTGAAGACCCATGGTGACCAGGCAAACCCCAGGCATTGGACACATGGTACTGAGTGTTTGAAGTATTCTCCTAGTGATCCTTCTTTCTGTTTGCTGTTGACTGAAGCCAAAATGTTGTACTGCTTGATTTAAGACTTCTTTACAATAATACATTCTGCTTGATGCATTTATATCCTGTAGTACATTTTCCCATGAAATTCAGAACATCCATTTTGTGGAGTACAAGGCTCATCAAAACCAAGGAATTGCCAGTAAAATCTCACACAAAATACTAACATAAGCTTTTAATGCACATAAATTCATACATAGGCTTAGTTGTTCCCAACCAAGTGTTATAAATGCAAATTTTGAACAATTTCTTACTAATGTCAGCTAATTCACCATCTAGACATGTTTGGACACCAAAAAACATTCATATTTTGAATTCTATTCTAAATCTGTTTTTTGACAAGGTGGTAAAATACAAAACAGAGACACAAAATGTAGTTAATGTTCATTGGCAACATATTTCTAAATATGTTGTCACAACTCAATTAACTTATGTGAAAAATAAAAAGACAAAGTGGATTTAAATTATTACTTGTCATAGAGTATATGTGTTAAGTAGTCTGATGACCCTTTCAGTAAAAGCTATCCTATTCCCTTCTCCAGTGGATTGGCTGCAAAGATAATGAACCAAGAGAAGAAGAAACCCCATAATATTGTCTGCTTGAAAGCTGGGCCAAGAAAAAAGGTGAAAGACTTTGAATTCAGTATTTGCAACTATTTAGTTGCTTCCGTGGAAGCTTCTTCCATGGAAGTGGCTTCAATGAAGGGACTCTGAAAATGTTGAATAATCAGTTCCTGTTTATCTTTTTATAAACCCACAAGCAATGAAAATTATTTCTTTTAATAAAAGTGAAAAAATGAGGTGGTATAATACACCATTAAAATAGGCTAGTAAGTGCTATAGCCCAATTATAAACTTCTCTTTTTATGATCAGTAATAATGGTTGTTTTTATTCCAGAGACATGGCTGTCATTACTGTGGCTGAAATGTGTGGTAGGATTATATAGCAGAAAGCTGTGCTGGTATTAAAACACAATTTACCATGGAAAAAAACTGCTTGGTGAATACAGGTGCCAAATCTTGTCCCTCGTGATTTCTGCCCTTTAGCTTGTCTGGCTGGTTTATGTCCCTTCTATGCAGGGAATGGGTCAGGACCAGACACAGGTCAGGAATGGGAGCCTGCAGACCTATTGGGCTCTCAGGCTCACTGGGTCTCAGGCTCAGTCATTTGTGCGCTGTGTTTTTGGTTACTTGTTTGTGCTGTGATGGTAGCTGGGCACTGAGGTTTCTTGCTAAGTTCTTGATTGCTCTAAGTGTGCGTTAGCAACCTGGGATCCTCCAAACGACTGGTGCAAGACATCTCTAGCACAGCTAACAATGGAGTTACACTGTGCTACAGTCTCTGGCATACGTTGCTCAAGCATTTTGCTCATACAGTTGCAAACTGAGTAAACAGCCCAGAAATTTCAATGGAAGGTGCAAAAACCATAGAGTTTCTCAGACTGGTCCAAGGCTTCTCGGCAGAGCAGGCAAACCTGCATTTTCCTCCCCTAGCCTGAGGGCTGGAAGAAGTGGGGCAGGGAATGATGGGGGGGGGGGAGGAGGTCTGGAAAACTGGGTCGCTGACTCATGCTCCTTGGGGTGGCTGGAGAGGGCCCAGAGGCTGTGACTGCTCACCTGCCCTTGGAGCAAACTCTTGTCCACCTCATCTGGGCCAGGAGCTGCCCTTAATAAGCTGGTGGGAACACTCTGACCCCCATTAAAATTTCACCTCAGTTGCTTCTAGCTTCCTTAACCCAGGCAGCTTCTGGAAAGATGCTCATCTTCCTCCTCAGTGTCTTTTAGCACCAGTCATAGTACTGTTACCTGTGTGGGTTTTTTGTGTGTGTATCCAGTCTCTGTTTTCAGCCTTTCCAAGTTGAAACATCTTTTCTTACTGGCGCATATTGTCTTGCTGAGATGGAGAACATCCCATAGTAGGTTTGGGGCACCAGATGTGTATGATGGCAAGTCTTTGTGCTGCTGCTGCAGGATGGTAGTACTGCAGTGGTGGATACTGGCTGGTATGTAGTGTTGCTGTCCACAGCCAGAAAAAACAGCATCCCAGAGGTGATAAAAACATCCTGTTTTTCTCATGTGGGTTAGCTGAAGCTCTGGAAGTGATCTCTTTCTGTAAGTTCCTTTTATATTAGAGATGTTATCTTGCTTTCAAATCTTAAGTCATGTAATATAATCATAGGTGAAAATTTCTCTTCATACCTCCCATCTTTAAGCATGTGAATACTTCGGGCCAGTTAGGGATGTTTCTGATACTTTTCTCTTTCCAAATGGTGTTAGTAATGCACTTCAGTGAGCTAAGTTTCCCAGTGTTGCTGCATAGGGACTTACACAGATTATTCTTTTTAGGATCCTCTTGTTGCTCTTGTGACTTTATATGAAATGGCTGACAAAGGAGACCAGGTGCAAATTGTCCATAGGCAGCATGTGGAGTTTAGGCTCACAAATCCACAGGGAAATGTTCTGTTACCCAGTTAGCATAAGCAGTTTCACAGCTGATGTAAAGTAACAAGGGTTCAGATAACAGACAGACTCGCAGATGCTGTTTCCAGAACAACAAGCTGCGAAGGACTCTTGAAGATGATAATCTTAAACTGTATTTGCCTGCAATGGATTTTTTGAAACTGGAGCAAAGAGAATAGCAGGGTGAGCTATTAAAATTCAGCTTTAGAACTGGCAGGAAAGGTAGCGTGAGCTTCCACAAGCACTTGTTTCAACTGTCTTTTGTTCTTGTTCTTAATGTGTTGCTTAATTAAAGAGCACAAATCTAACCTGAAAATGTCTGTACAGCTACCCACACTCCTCTTTCCTAGGTTTATCTGCAGGAATGTTAAGATGCATCTTTTTTGGGGGTGGCTCCTTTAGCTGATAAATAAAATGAAGGCAGCTAGGCAGCTGTTTCAGTTCTCAGATGGTGCTGGGCACGATTAGCATAGCCTGCTAGGGTAGTAAGGATTAAACAACATGCTCAGATCACTTTCAGGCTCTTCCTCGGGGCCCTCTTTATTAATTCAAACATCCCCCTCCCCAAGGCAGCACGAAATGAATTGTGTTTCCTCAACCAACACAGCTGCTGCTGCCTTACTCGCTGCCTGCCTGGGACTGATTATGGGAGCCACCATCCCCTGCTGACCCTGCTAGTGAATCCCTTGTAAAGTATGAAAGACCTGGCTCTGCATCTGGGATGGGCTAGAAGAAGGGCTGCTGGGTTTTAAGAGGTACAGCAGGAACATATGTAATTAATATGGTTATGTTATCATACAATCATAGAATGCTTTGGGTTGGAAGGAACCTTAAAGCTCATCCAGTTCCAAGCCCCTGCCACGAGCAGGGATACCTTCCACTAGACCAGGTTGCTCCAAACCCCTTCCAGCCTGGCCTTGAACACTGCCAGGGATGGTGTTCACCTCACAAGGAAGAATTTCTTCCTAATATCTAATCTAAATCTGCCCAATTTCACTGTAAAACCATTACCCCTTGTCCTATCACTTCATGCCCTTGTAAAAAGTTCCTCTCCAGATTCCTTGTAAGCAAGTATGCAAAGTGTGTATATATATATAGCATATATGTATAGTATATATATTAATATGCAGATAATTCCTAATTATCTAGCTCTGTGGTTGAGAACTATTCAGAAGGAGTTATGGGGTTACTGTGTCTTTTTTGTGGACTAGGAAAGGCATTTTGAGCCATTTCATGGAAGGAGAGCTTGGCTCCTAGCTTAGGCAATAAACTCTGTCCCTGATGTAAGGCCATGCTGCTGTCTCCTTAATTTTCTTTCTCATGCTAAAGTTGGTTCTGTTGTAAATCTACTGCTTTCTGTAGATGAATATTGTGAATTTGGTCAGTGAATGTTGTCATGTCCCTTTAACAAATATAATAATGTATAACTAGGCCTGCAGTAATGAATTAGTTGGACTCTTACTAATTAATTACCTGAGAATATTTATAGTCTGATCAGCAGGAGGAGAACTGCCGTTATCTAAAAAAAAGGGTGTTTGTAGAAATGTTCCCAGTGTAAAGCACGTTATCATAATGCTGCGTTTTAAGAACAAATGTTGATACAATTTTTCTATTGAAATAATTTGATTTCAGCTATTCTGGTTCATAGAGGCAATGCGTTTAAGCCAAGCAAATATTCTGAAGTCTTCCATAATGAAATTGAAGAAGTTAGAGATGGAAATTGTGTGCTTATTCCTGCAGCCTAGTTTCTTTCCCTTGCCAGGATTGGTTCCTCTAGCATCTACGCTTGTTTTTCTTACTGCAGAAGAGCTTTCCTCTGGGCATGACACACACTTCATTAAAAGATCTATTAAAATCAGAGCTTTTGATTTTGTTGAGTGATTGTTTCATATAGCAGATAACCAACCCTAATGTTAAGTAAGCATGGCGAGCAAAGAATTGGCAGTTCTTTTTACTTTGGCTTAGAGATGCGGAGGGATGAGAGATCAGATCTTTGTAGTGGAAATTCAGCTAGGCATGTAAGTGCAGAAAGGCTGTGTCCTGTCTCTGTGTGTCCTGCTGTACTAACAGCCGTGGCAGTATGTCAGTCATCTGACCAGTAAGACCTGCTGTTGATATCAGTGATTGGGAAAAAATAAATAAGTTGCTTAGCATTCGACAGTCATATATTCTAGATGAACAAAGGGCAATAGAATTTCTTCAGTTATCATTACTGATGGCTGTTGTAGCTGTACTTTCAGGCCTTGTCTTGTCAGTTTGGTTTGGCTCTCCCAAAGGCTGGGATGATGAGGAAGATCTGAGCCTAACCCAAGGTGTGTCTTAATGAGTTACAGTGACACAAGCTAGCTGGGAAGTGAAATGGAGAGGATGAAATAGTAATTAACTGCATCCTTTAGTAAAGGCCAAGCTACTGGAGAGGCTGGGGCAGGTGCTGGTTGAGTGCTTCCTGAGGTGCTGCCCTGTGTGCAGCTGTGGAGCTTTGTCAGGGATTCAGAGAGGCTGAAGTGAGGCAGGATTATGACTTGGCACCACTGATGTCTGTGGGTGCTTTCGTCCTTATTCTAACAAAGCTCGTGGTAGTGTTCTTGTGTTGCTTCATCCTCAGTTGCTATACAATCCCCAAAGAGTTTTTGGTTTGTTGTTGTGCATAGTGCCACAAACCCTGATTTTAAGATGGGTGAAATGCTGCCTGCTGTCGCTCCATTAGCTCCCATATACAGCAGCTCTGACTGTGGCTGCACAGTTAGTGGGTCTTCACATGAGGTCATCCACTTATTCTAAAGGTTAAAGACCCAGAAATTTTTCTGGGTCATTCAAGCATTTACTTGTTAGTTTGAGTGTGTCTGCCTGGACTTGATAAAATAGCAGCAATTAGCATCATCTTTCTGAGAAACAGGAGTGATCTTATCAAATCTTGGGAGGAGGTTAATGCTAATGCTAGTTATTTGTATGGCTTCGCATTGAAGAGTTTCAATTTGCAGCATGAATAGTTCAATTTCTATTT